CTCATGAATTGTCAAAAAGAAATAATACACATGAATAAAGGTCATGGGGAAGTACAAAAGTAACATCTCAAGTCAAAAAATTGCATGTACCTGTGCAAACTGTAGTTTAAATTATTACAGGCTTAAAACTCCTCAGGAAACAAATCCAAATAATTTGGGTAGACATTTTACTGGAGATTAGATTTTAAAAAGATATGGTTAAAGATTACTAATGTGGTCAATAGGTTAGTTAATAGTTACTCCACTTTTACTATCTGTGTAATGGCTATGTGGAAAAAGGTTTTTTCTGTCAAAGGAGATAACTCCATTTTATAAAAATCTCTATTTTTGTACAATCTTACTTTTATAAAAGGTACATATGATCGTTCCACTATTTCTGAAAAACTTGAGACAAACGGCTACATGCCTGTCAACCTGCCATAAAACTTTATAACAAAGGGCTTTCTAGATTACAAAACAAACTCTGCCTAACAACTATGATCTCATTAGACTAGCCGCTCAGATTGGGTTATAAGGCCACACTCCTGCCAATAGAGTGAGACACAGTGGCCACCGAGTGTCAAGCATAAAACTTGAGCAGACTGCCTGCTCAGTGTGCCTGCTCTGTCTGGTGACGCATCCTTCTGCAGGAATAAAGTTTGTCTTGTTGAGACACTTTCAGAAGTTTGTGATTTCTTTTGTTTTGTAACACCAAAAAATTTGTACCTGGTAGCTATCAGGCTTCTAAAAGATGTATAGTTATCTGAGTGTGGAGCACTAATTTTGCTGAAGGAATATTTATTCCATTAAAGTATATCAGAAAATAGCTTATGCAATTAATTAGAAGTGACGTTTAATTCCTATACAGGGCTACATATTATATCCTTCAAAAATATTCATTTTAGACCAGTTTGGGAAAACTTATATTTCTCAAAAGTAAATAAAACCTTTTCTATAGTAGAGAGTGGCTTGGCAGACCTTATATTTTGCTCTTTACAAGCTAATAAGTTTATTATTCTGTTGATGGTGTCAGTGAAAACACCAGTCTCTGGGTCAGAGACAAAGGACTTTGTTGGTAATGACCCAGAAAACAACCTGAGTATGGGTTTGTTTGCTTCAGGTCTCTTTCTCTTCTCTCTCACAAGGGTGCACAGTGGGTGCAGACGGAAGTCTCCTTGTGGTGGCATGTGTCGCAGTGGAGCAGCTCTGAACTTGAGGAATCACTGCTTTAATAGCAAGCATCAAACAAGTTTGCTCTTTGTCTCATATGGGACACCATACCATCCTTCAGGGTTACTTCTTGAACTCATAGTTTCTGGCCCAAGGCCCATGAAAAGGATAACCTAGCCAGATAGAAAACTTTAAGACAATAACTGATATACTCCAGGCAAATACCACATAAAATTTACAGCAGCCATGAAAACACTTACCAAGAAAAATGTAACTAAATCTTAGTAGGAGAACTTGTTGGTGCTTTAATTTTCCTTTGTCCTATCTTCATGTGTTCTCTGGCTGAAGGGTGATCTTTAAGTGGTCCAGTGTGGGTTTCTGATGCCGGACCTCATTATCAAAAATACTGCTTGAACACTTTGACTGTCGGGTGGCTCCTTGTAGGACTTCTGAAAAGGACTTGCCTGAATCCTGCATAATCCAGAATGCTGTCAAGGCTGACAAATAGCTGGGCAGAGGACATTATTTAAAGAAAGAGAGAGAGAGAGAGAGACAGAGAGAGAGAGAGACAGAGAGAGAGAGAGAGACAGAGACAGAGACAGAGACACAGAGAGAGAGACAGACAGAGAGAGAGGGAGAAAGAGAGAGAAAACCTTCAAACTTGAAGATGGTCAATTTGGCACGGAGGTGGTTCCCCTGAGGAACCTATTCCACTCTTTAAGTTTGCAGGTTTGCTATTAGTAAAAGAGACATGAGAAGGATTTATTAGAGACTTTAGGAAACATTCAAAGTGGAGTGTGTGTGCTCAGAGAAAATGAGACAGACACGTTATGAGCCAGAGCTGGGTGCATGCAAGGGGCTGTCTTCCAGATGGTGACCTGGGAGGTGTGTTCTCATTGCCTGTTGGTTACAGTGCAAGCCAGCCACCTGTGTTTGCGGTTGAGATGTGCAGCTCATCAATACTGCTGATTCTTGAGGATGGGGAAATGCAATGTACAGGTGAAAAGGACATGTTAAAGTCCAGTTTACAGGCTTACTGTGTCTTTAAGATCTTTAGGAATTTTTTCAGTGAATTTCCTGGAAGGGAAAGAGGGACTTGAGTAACTTATGTTCTGAAGCTGAAGATTTTCATAAAACTACAACTTACAAAATCTCAATTTCCTTGTCTCCTTTCTACCCAATTTTTATTTCTTCTATCTTACTTCAAATTGAAATTATCCACTTTTGAAAAAGAGAAAAAAATGGATCCTAAGAGACCGTGGCATATTACTGAGATGTAGAAAGACAAGGACAACAGGAGTCCTAGAAGTAGAGGGGAGAGGCTCAGGGCGAGGAAGAATAAGTGAAGAAATAATGAGTAAGAAGTCCTAAATTTGATGGTAGCTATGAATCTGCACCTCCAAACAGCTCACCAAGTCATAGAGACCAAGCGGGATACGGTAAAACAATCCACAGTGGCGTAATCAAATTTCTGAAGGACAGATGGTGAATCTTGCAAGTTGAATGAGAGAAATAAATAATAACTTGGAAGGGATCCTTAATAAGATTAACAGTTTCTCATCAGATATCATGGAAACTGGGAGGCTTGAGATGAGATAGAATGCTGAAAGAATAAAGAACTGTCAAAGTATAACTCTACATTTGGTAAAAATATTTTTCAAACAGAAAAGAGAAACTGAGCCATCTCAAGACATGCGGCACTTAAGCGGTTTGTCACTGGAGAGTCCTCTCTACAAGGAGTCCCCAGGCGAGTCCTCCACACTGAGATGGAAAGGCACTCTTCAGCAGCTGGGGCCGCACAGGGATGATGAGCAACGGGAAAAGTAGCATGAGTAGAAAGCCAGTTTCTGTACTTATGGTGCTGTATCACCTCTTTTTCATATATGATTTTAAATTGCTATAAATGTGCACAGAATTGGTCAAAATGCATGTGATATTTCTCCATAGGTGTGAAGATATGCATTCTTTTTTAAAGCAGTGCAACTTAAATACTTTAGATGGATCCCAAATTAATACTATTTGTAGTAGTGTTTATCTTTAGACAAATTATCTTTGAGCGAGAACTAACTTTCCAGTCCTCTGGGGTTCACACAGTACTGACCTATGTTGTGGAAAATGCAGAGTGCTGAGTGGAGCTGGAGGAGAAAACTGTGCTTTCCTCTTTGGTCCACGCAGTCACACTATCCTGCATGTACCTGAATGCGTCCACATCCGCTTCAAACATCATTAGGCACATGTGCTTTCGCAGGGTGGCTTTGATGACTGAGGAGAGCTGTCATTTCCTGACCGTTGATGTGGTTTTTGTGTCTGTTACCATGCTAGGTCTATGTACCCATTAATATAAGTTTTTGGTACAAATCTTACAGTGAGCTGTACTCCTTACAAAGACCTTGCTGGGGCTCACAACCTAGTTTTAGGGGTCTGTGTTTCCTGTTCAAATGCTTTCCCAGGTTGTGGTGGCTTCCACCTACTGCTGCTATCGCTTGCCCTTTGCTTTTCACATTTACTGAGAAATGGTACCATTTTTATCAAGCAAATCTTATTCTCACTGAAAAGTATTTCAATATAAGCACCTTCACCTTATTCTATTTCCTATGCAGTTGCTCATGGGAATGTGAAAGATCTGACCCAACCATGTTTGATGGGTGCTAATGACTTGGTTCTAGAGTAGAAAAAAGCTTCTGCATTGCTCACATGCAGCCTCCAGCCTCTGCACAGACAAAAGCAGGCTGTGGTGCAAAGGAGGAATGTGAGTGTGCTGTGCTTGTTTCTGTGTTGATTTGGTTAATTTCTGGTGTAGAAAAGTCTCTGATAGACATGGCTTGCTTGTTAGGCAGTGAACAGAGTGAAAAATGCAGAGGAAGAGAAAAACACCACCACACCTTTCAGAGAGCAAACCTAGACATCAGGGCATTATTCAAGTGAACAGAAAGATGTTTAGACAAATAAAGAGGATTATCACATTTCACAGCATAGAGGATGAAGGTGGTTTCGTCTCTGCTGCACCCTTGAGCAAGCTCTCTTTCAACACGGATGAGGCATCAGTGCAAAAGCGAAGGAAGTATTCCAAGCTGCCCTACTTTCTGGTTTTGAAAAGAAAAGATTGTCCTGGCTGTGAGCTGGAACTGTTTGTTAAAGCAAGATTTCAAGACATTCATTTTGAAGGATTCTTTTGAATTACAAAAAAATTGCTTTACAAATTGACGAAGAGAAAGTGGTCTGGGGGCATCTGTCCTGATATGCAGAAGAGCTATGTAATGTGAAATGCTCCATGAATCACATCCACAGTTCTATAATAGAAATGTGTGAATGACTTTTCAGTGAAGGAAATGATTTAAAATAACTTCTCTTACTCAGAAAACAGTTGCTATTTGATATAAAATATGTAGATATATACACATCTCACAGTACTCACTGACTGACTTGGATCAAATGTTCCTTAGATTTGTAATGTAACTAAATGAACACATTTTTTCTTTAAGTAGTTCACATAACAAGTATCAGCATTTTGAATATTCCTTTCATCCTTATTGTGAGTTTACAAGATGGCAATGCCTTCTCAAGGGACCCTGAGAACTCTTCTCAAGTGGT